TTTGTTTCCCCAATGTACAGATCTGTGCATGGCTCACTGCATTGTATGGCATATTTTCTGCATCGCATGAGAAAAGCACATCTTCCTTCTCCTATCCTTATCACTTTCTACAGGGGGACATTCGAGAGCATCCTGTCATACAGCATCACAGTCTGGTTTGGAAGCATCACTGCTTCAGACAGGAAGGCGGTGCAGACAGTGGTGAGGATGGCTGAAAAGATCATTGGCATCTCCCTCCCTCCCATCCAGGACATAGCACAGAAACATTGCTTGAGCAGGGTCCGAAAATTATCTGGGACACGACACATCCTCTTCACGACCTGTTTTCCTTGTTACCTTCTGGGAGGAGGCTTCGTAGTATCCGTAGCAGAACATCCAGATTCAGCCATAGTTTCATTCCATACAGCATTAACCTTGTGAGCTCTCAAGCTTCCTCCTTCCATTATATATTCAAGATGGACAGCGTTTAATATTTATTTGTTATGTATATGTAGAGGTGTGGGTCTATACATATGTTGTGTATAGTATGTTTAGGTGTGTGTCATGTCCGTGTTCACTTTGAGAGCGGGCAACTAAATTTTATTTTTGATGTGTGCCGCCCACAGTAAAAGTGACAATAAAGGTTATCTTATCTTATATACCACCTGTTTGATATACTGCAAATGTTTATAAAGGACGGAATTCCAATAAGACCCAGCAGATGGCAGCACGTAGCTGTCTGAGGGAGATGGGCGGTTCAAAAATGTGAAAAATAATACTTGAATGAGGTTGAGTTCAAAGTTTAGAGTTGTAGGTGAGACTAGAATTCCAAAAACTTCTGAGGAAGTTCCTGGAAAATCACTTCCATATGTTGCTAAGAAAATTGCACACAGACCATGCAGCCTATGTCAGTAAATCAGCAGGCGTTAAGCTCGAGTCGAAGACTTTATTGGTATTCTTAATGGGCATGTAGTTACTTCAAGGAGGCAACACAGTCGCTGGCAAGGAGAAAACCCCTTTTAACCCCCAAAGCTTTTATAAAAATTAGCCTGGTTCTGAATGAAAACTATTTTCATTTTGTTTGAAAAGCATGACTCAATTTCAAACCGTGTGCAAGGAGATAAATTGCCACATCTCCCAACCTTCTATTTTTCCACTACGGTTGTATATCACGCTCATCTCAACATAAAGTTTCTGAAACTCGGGCGGAATAGCGAGAAGCCAATTAACAAATAAGCAGGCAGAACTTTTAATTGCAAAGGAAACAAGCTGATCCGGATTGCCCACGCCTGCGAGTTGAGCTGCTGCATTGCTTTCCACCCGAGAATACTCAGGTTTTTAGGCATTCGAGTCCCATGCAGGAATTACACCAATGACAGCAAGTTATCCGCTGTCAATACTCAATATTGATACTCAATACTCAAAAGAAAAAACACCAGCAAGTCAACGATTAAAAATTGCAACACAGTAAATCTCTTGTGTTTAAACTGATTAAAGGAAAGGCGCCCAAGAAAAACCATGCGGTTTACGAATTTTAGCGATGTGATACGGAAATGTGGAAATCCAGAAGTGGAAGCCAGACCTAACCTGACTTGTATTTGGTTGGAAGGCAGGCTATAGTTCCGCCAAAAGCCGAAGGTGCAAATGAAAGGGCAAGACGCTTCACCGCGGTTTGTGCGCATAACAGGAAATGCTCCTGCCAAGAACAGCGGAATCTGCTTTCCTTTTCCGGAAACTTTCCGAAACCCCGGAACCTGGTTTAGAAGGCAGTGAACAGTAGAAGAAGCCGGGCTTAGTCGGTTGCATACAGGCTGCGGGGCTAACAGCTGTAGTGAGGGCCGATGCATGGCGGTCAGGCGGAGGACTCGGCCCTCCACAGGTCGGTGCCGATAGGGAGGCGGGGATGAGGAAAGATGCTCAGCCCTTGCCGTTAGGGGGGTGGATTCTTTTCCCCTTCTCCCCCGCCGACGCCTTTTGAATTTGTTCTTCTTTTTGAATTTTGGAAGAGGAGAGACCCTCCCAGGCCCCTCTTTAGGAGCGGGTGCTTTCCGCTGCGCGACCCTTCACTTTGCGACCCTATCTTGGGTTGTTTTCCCCCCTTGCATTTCAAAGCCCTGCCGAGTCCGGCTTCCATAGCTTGCAATCGGCGTGCACAAACCAGAGTGGAATTCTCTTGAGAGGGAGGGGAAGCTGCGTCGGTTGTGGTTTTTTTGCATGTGGGAATAGTGCCTGAGGTTGCCAGAGTTGCCAGCTTTTGCCTGTTCGGTCAATACCTTCTTAACTCATCACCTCGAGCAGAAATGCAGTGGCCTAATCCTTCGACATCAGTGGCCGGTTCTCTTGAGAAAAGATTTTGCTGGTTGTATCCGTTCAGTCAGTCAGAAGAAAAAAGTTCTTCATGGAATCTTCTTAAAACTTGTTCAGGAGAGGAAACTTTCGGTAGAAACTGTCCGGTCTGATAGCATCACTTAAGGAAAGCACCTTATATGTATGCGTCTCGGTTCAAATATTAAATCTGTGTTCGCAGAACATGCAAGACAAAATTTGGCTGACTTGTTCATTGTGTGAACAAGATGTTGCTAATAGTGTAGCGTGGCTTGCAATTTAATGTGTGAATTCAATCAATCGTGGTTAAGGAATGCACGGCTTAGGTCAGTGCTTCCCAAATAATTTCCTTCCTTACTCAAAATCACTTATCAGAAAGCTAATGTTGATAAAATAAGTCAAGTTAAATGTTTGTGTTGTAATTGGGTAGCGACAGATGAACTCATTGACCAAAGAAAAAACACTTTTACTCAATTTCAGATAACTTACACAGATTTGGGAAGCACTGGTTTAGATTGTGTGAACATCACCAAACTCTTCAACCTTAGTTCAGGTTTTTTGGACTATTTTTGGTACAAGTTATTGTACCCTATTGGCCACAGGATGGGCAGCTATCACCTCACAGGGTGCTTGTTGGGAAAATAAGAGGAAGTAGTATTAGTTCATCATCTTGAGTCATTAATAAAGTAATAAAGATGGACTAAGAATCTAATAAACTTCTGTATCTGAAGTTGAAACAGAAAAGTTGGGTCCAAATTTTCTGACTTCTAAAACTTCCCATCTCCACTCATCCCATTCTAGAATCTTTTACATAAAAGATGCATTTATATGTTTGAAGAAGATAATACCATACCATTTCTATTTTGGAATCCTGGAGCTGGCAATAATTCTCTACCATTTTTGTTAACTATGTATACCTGCCATTGTGTAATTAAATGTAATGAAAAGCAGCCAGAAACTTGATTTTAAAACTGAGTTTATTAATATAGTTCCTGTTGGTGTCTCAAATAACAAATGATTTGGTACCAGATAAAAGCTTATTTGTAGTCTTTGTTGTATTACCTGCAAAAAAATTCCTATATATTTCTGTTAAGATAGTTTCTGTCTTATTGGGCTTCAAATCAATCACCATTGCATCTCATGGATTGCACAAGGATGTGCTTCATTTTAACAAAAGTAAATGAATAATATTTAGCCAGTTCTCATAACAAGTTATGTTGCTGTAGAGTAAGTAGATTTCTAAAATCTATTTTATCTTTATTAGAATTTGAGATCTACCAACTCTCACCAGCAGCAAAAGCTTACATTTAGAATTAAGTAAATAAGGAGAGGGTTTATTTTATTATGATTTATTAATCAATTTTCTAGAGTAAATTCTACCATAGTATCAATCTGTTTTCATAGTGACACAAATGAAATATATGTTTTGTTTTAGATAATTTTTTCATTCATCTATGTTATTTCTAAAAACAAACAGGCAGTAAAAATATAAGTTATGCCGTCTTTTCCATTGATTTTAAATAGTGAAGATTGGGCTTTGCAATATAGTAAAAATAAAGATGCCCCAGTTCTTTAGCACCCATATACTAATCTGTTTCAGCTGGAGCCAATTATGATTGGCTAATCTACAGCTCTGAACATGTGGATTTCTAACTAAATTTTGGACCTCTGCCTAGCTTATATTGCAGAAAAAAATCTCTGTTTACATCACTGGAATAGATTGTGAAGAGGGGTGTCTGAAGAACTTGATATATCATTTAGGTTGGAGAAAACAAGACTAAAGGGAAATAAATATGAAACCACTTTTCATATTCCTGGAACAACATCACACACACCAAAAAGACCTGTCTATCCCAGAAAACAAAGTAGAAGTATTAAGTCACAGAAAAAATGTTTCCAGATGAATTCCCAGTGTAGTTTGACAGTAGAACCAACTATCAATGGAAATTGTAAAAAAAATTGCTGGATGTGTTTAATAAAGGCCAGATAGCCGTTACTTAAGGATGTTTCGATTTAGATATGTTGGTCTAATTGGCTTTTTCCAATTTTACTTTTCCATGCCAAAGACACTTTCTATAAAAAACCATTCACACCCTGAACTTTTTTCTCTGCAGGTGTAAAAAGAAATAAAGGATAGACTTAGGACAAGCTACCTTTATGCTTGGGTTGCTTAATATTCAGCTTGTTGATCTGTTAAAATTCTTCACTTGGTATAAAGCATGAAGCCACTGATTAGCCATGTAAGGTAAGGTATCTTTACTTTTCTCATCTTGGTTTTGTCCAAATATCAAGTTGTACCTCAGGGGAATATGCCTAACAGAAAAAAGATTCTGGTTCCAGTTATGTATATATTTATTTTAACTTACTTTTTAAATCACTGCTTACCACCACCAAAAGTTATATACATTATTCTATAATAGTAAGAATAGCTCTGTAGAACAAAAGAATGCTCATCTTCTCCAGTATCTTAACATTGGATGCCAGTGCCTCTGAGGAATACAGCAGTGGGGCAAAAAGACAGCTGTTTTTGTGTTGTTGTTTGTTGCATAGTCAAGGTGCATTGCTATTTCCATTTGGTTGGTCTTGTTAATACTTTCTAATGACTTTTGCCCATGCTTATATTTATGCTTAGTAGTAAGTGGGGACAAGAAATGTGCACACAAATATACATACCTTTTCATTTTCATTATAGCTGTGTCCATGGGAACAACTTTCAGTGTTGAACACATGACTAAGGAGCTGCTTCCAGAACAAAATGGAGAGCTTGAGTCTACAGGCAATGACCCTTCCTGATGGGACAACAGCCTATGTTCAGCAGGATGCAGGTGGTGAGTCAGTTGAAGGCTGTGGCAGCTGTGGTCAGTGAGACTGGGGCAAAGCAGAAACCCTATGATCAAAGCATTACACACAAGGGAGAGTGAAAGGCAGTATAAATATTTGATAAATAAATATTGGATAAATATTTCATTAAATAAAATTCTGCTTTAAATGTACTAAATTTTAATAGTACAGGTAGTCTGCAACCTTCAAACACAACAGAGCCTACCTATTATAGTCCTAAGTGGTGACAGCTGTTAAGCGAGACAGCCTCTCTTCATTACCCCCACTCCTGCTCTCCCTGATGCACTAGCCAAGTAAGTACACTGGCCATTAAGTGGAGCACAGGGTGCCCCAGGGCTGGGAGAGGCCATGGGAGGACTAACACAATCCCAGGACAATCTGGCCCGGGCCTCCCCTACCCCCTGTGCTCCAGTTCCTACCCCAGGGGTCCCCACAACCCTTGGGACTGCTACCTCTCCCCTGGGTCCCTGCAAGGCTTGGGCTTGCTCCCCATCACCCATCGCTCACTTACCTTTTGAAGAACCCTGGAGCTTTTTTCAGCACTGTGCAGACCACATTAGGGAAATAGAATGAAGTGGTTTGCCCCTGGGCCATGGGGCGGCCTCCTCAAAGAGGCTGCAATTTTGGTGTAACTTCAAGGGATTGTGGGAGCATTGAAAATGGTAGCTGCTTCGTAGAGGAAGCCACGTAGCCCAGGGACAAGTGGCCTGCCCTTTCCCCCCAACATGAGGTCCTGAGATCTTCAAAGGTAAGTATGAAGAAATGTATACTCTGGTATTTCTATTATATAAAATATCTGCTGCTGTGTAAGTGTCAGGATGATGCATCATTGGTATTGTTCCGTTCAATAATTGTGCTAAAAGAACACTCTATAGAATAGTTTTTTCAGTAATTTTCACAAGAAACCAATTTTGTAGGATAGACTTACAGGCTGTATGTTGCTTCACATTACTTAACACTTCGATAATTGTGTTATCGATAAAAGATGGATAAAAACGATGAGAAGAAAAAGCTATACACATGTTTTAATAAATTAGATTCCTTTAAATCATCAGTATGGTATTGTTGCAATAAGTAAAGTACTTGGGTTTGGCATTGGCAATTTAGTTAGAAATTTGCTGCAGAAGTGAAAGAAAGAAAAGTATTTTGACTTTAAGCTGGAAAGTATTTTCTGTGTCAGCTATCGTAAGAAATTTTCTAACATGTTTTTCAGTCTACTGAGGAAAAAATTTCATTTCTGTGTTTAAACTATGATTTTAACAATTGATTGCAAATGTACTTGGCATAAGAGTACATTTTTTATATATTTTAAGTGGGTCTTCTTTATCTACTTCCTTATATGAAAGAAATATATTTATTAATAAAGATAATTGCAGAAAACAAGAATTCTACTAATGCTACCTTTGGATTTAATATTCTGGATCCCATATATAAAGCTGATAATATATTTCAGAAGAAATAAATAATTATAATGTATAAGATTATGTTCATGTTCCTTAATAAGAAGTTTTAATATGTGGCTACAAATTTTAATCTTGCTTCCTAGAAAATTGACAAGTGTTTCAAAATTCATGTTTCAGAAGAGAAATTAATTGAAGGACAAATGATTCAACTTGAAGATGGATCTACTGCTTTTTTCCAACAAGTAACTCTGCAGAAAGGTGAAGTAAAATTGCTGATATACCTCTTGTGGTCTCTTTAAAGCAAAATGAGGAACTTGTGGTCTTCCTAAAGTTGTTAAACTAGTATTGCTGGAAATTGTAATTCAGCATCATCAGGAGTTCCATAAGTGCCTCGCCCCCTGCTTTAATGTCCAGTGTGGTGCCTACCAGCACCTTTCTAAACACCTTGTAGAAGCTGGCAGGGAAGGTTGCAAATAGCAGTTATGTGACTATGGGATGCTGCAACTGTTATAAAGGTGAGCCAGTTGCCAAGTGCCCAGATTGCCCTCACAAGATTGTGGGAATATTGGGAGAGGCAGAACTTTGGGGACCAGCACTGTTGTTCAGTGCTGTTGTAACTTTGAACAATCACTGAATGAGTGGTTATTAAATAATCTATATAGTATAAGCATTAAAAAGTAATGTGCTTGCAATTGCCAGGTTGGGGATAGGGTATTCTTGAGTGTAAAATTCACCTGAAAAAGTGACTTCTGATTACAAACTGATGTATTTTTTGAGTGCCATCTTTGTACTAAAAAGAACAAACAGTGCCTTGCATTTGCTGGTGCTTTTGTTTCTACATCTAAACAAATTTAGAGTCAAAGAAATGTTGAATAATTTTCACTTAATTCATTTAATTCATAGAATGACTCTATGTTGCACTTTTGCATGCATATTATTATTAAAATATTTTTAATATACCTAGGGCTGAATTGACTAACAGGCTATTCTTCAAAAGAAGTGAACAATGATGGGGATTCTTATTCTTGCTAAGCTTTGCTGTTGCATGAAAAAGCTGGGCAAGTTGATTTATTTGAGATCATGTGTGTGCCTATGTATATTCTGATTCATTCTACAGAATCGATTACATTTGAAGATGGTCAGCCTGTTGCACTGGAAGATGGCACCATGGCTTTTATACATCATACTCCTAAAGGTAGCTCTCAGTCTTTGACTCCTGTTTTTAATAAATAATCCATAAAAAGCCTCTAAGCAGTAGGATTATAGGTGTCATTGTGTGTTGCTTTTTTTTTTTAAAGCACACCCCTGGATAAAACATTTATTTGTGTTGATTACTTTTACTGTAGATCTTCCGGGTAGCCTACATCAATAGTAAGATGTTTTATTGCACTCTCTCCTTCTCTGAGAATTTCTTGATCATTGAAAACCACAATTTGGTGGGTAAACCACGGTTTGAATTAACCAGGAAGTTCAGAGATGGAAGGGAGAGTGCTTGACCTCTTTATTTGTTTCTGTTCTGTGCTTTGGAAGATTGGGAATATGGCTGTCATTTTTTTCCCTAATCCATTCTTTAGAGCCATAAATGATAAACTACTCATCTATTGAAAAAACAAATCCACCTTTGGTTGTGAATTGCAAGATTTTTGATATGTAATGTTTTCTAAAGTGTAGTTAGACTTTACTATTGATGGCCTTAACCCTTAGAGTTTTATTAGCTCTAAATGATCAAAGGATAGATACATAGTGATTAGAGATGACATGTGGTGCTATAGTGTTTGTGGTCCACTTCAGAGGGTTTTGACCCCAGCACCCTGGAGGCCATCCAGCTGGAAGATGGATCCACAGCTTTCATACACCGTCCTGTTCCCACGACAATGGGTGGCAGCATCCTGACAGTGCAAGCAGATGAGGGGCTGGAGGAATTGGCAGGGAAGAAAAATGATGCTTTTGATTTAGATACTGATACCACTCTGGAGGATTACACCAGCAAGGTGAGAATATTCTGCTTTTCTATGAAGATCTAAACCATAACATGATTCGGAGAGTTACATTTCTTAGGTGTATATAAGAGTGGTCCATTGCTACAAATAACCGTTGAGCTCCCCTGTGAGCTGTGGGGATCAACCCTGCCATCTGAAGTCAGGAGTTTGATAGTTAATTAGAACAATATATATTTGTACTGATGAGAACTTTGTGCACATATCTGTATATGTATTGACTGCTTTGTTAATTTGTACAATTGGGTGCTCAAGTGTCAGTTCAGCTATGATATCATAGGTGCCATTTGGATGGGAAAGACTTATCACATCTGCTGCTGCTGCTATAAATTCAATGTTCTGTTGTGAAATCAGAAAGAGATATGCAAAAACTTTAAATATGGAATGAAATGGCATAGGTACAATAGACTAGTGAACACATGCACTAAACAGTTCAAGCTATTTGGATATTTTGTGAATATCACTACCAAGCATCACACATTTTTTTCTTTAGTCATTCAGATTACATATGTGTGGGGGGAAGTGGATGGGTGGGATTGTGCTTGAAACATCTATAAGACTGTGAGAAGCAGTATATTGTTTAGATTGTTTTATATTTTAGTTTGATTTTAAATATGGTTATTCATCTTCAGTCTTCAAACTTTATAGTAGATTGAAAAATATACAATACTGCTCTTTTTAAAAAAAATAAAATCTTTTGTATTTGCTTTATTCTGGTATTTGAGACAACAATTCAGAAAGCTGCCATCTTGTATCTGGGAAGCAGCTGAACTATAGTATTAGATATAATTAGGCTAAATACCTGTTGACATTGTTTAAAGTACTGGGCAGCTTATTTATTGTACATATTGACTTGCAATTCAACAGATACTATTTATCTTTACAAGGCAGAGTGTCAGTGTGTAGCTGCACAGAGTGTCAGTCTGTAGTGGACATAGGTCTTGTCACTTAACTTAGCCAGAACAACTCCATAAGACAGCCTAATAAATTGATGAGAGTGGCAAACTATGAGCCACAGACTTTGCAATAGGTAGTTTAGTTCTTTAATCATTGTATGACACTTCTCAGGCTCTCTGGCTCAACCTCAGCAAAAGCCTAGATAACATGCCTAGATAAGAATCATTATCATATAGAAGACATACACTTTATCTGTACATGTTATTGCTTTATTTAAACTTACACTTTTTATTTTAATCTACACCCTCACTTCCCTGTATTGTATTGTATTGTATCGTATCGTATTGTATTGTATTCATTCATTCAATTTCTAAAGCTGCCCAACTCGACCAAATGACTTTACCAACTCCATTCCAGAAGATCAGAAGACAACCTTCATTCAAAACTGTTATGTCCTTCCCCCTTTTCTTATTTTTACAGAAATGTAACAGAACTCTTTTTCTTCTTGTTGTATTCATGAGTTTATGTTCTATACCATATGTTCCTCTTACATTTTAAGTTATAGTCTTTCATCTCCTCTGGTCATCACAGATTGGCCCGTAGATATTGATTAGGGGTGTGCAGTTATTCAGATCTAAAGCAGTAAAGGTACTTTGGAGAGAACATGGGCATGTTAGCTATACCCATTAATATCTCCTTACAAAAGGATCTTATGGCAATCACGTAGTCCCAGGAAATCACACATTTGAGTTAAAGAGCTGTAGTACCCGAAAACATCCAGCTTAATGTCTACTTATTAACAGTAACTACTTACTCATATTAGCATGCCTTTGGAACAGTCAAAGTCTTCTTGCAACATTTTTAGCAAAATAGAGAAGATGTGCATTAGCTTACTAACCTTGATCATACTATACCCGTGCCACATGCAATTCCCTGCTAATGGAAAGAATATTTCCATTTTTAGTATCTTTATGCAGTATGCCAGCAACCCAAAGCTCAATTTGACCAAAAGCATTTTCATAGTATATTATATATTTCATTCTATATAATTCACCCCTATTATTCTAGTCAGAATGGCAAACACAACACAATCTATTGTGTTTGAAAAAAATCACAACATAAATAAGAGTCTTCATCAAGACTGAGTTGAAGAACACCCCAAACTGTATATCCTACCCTTCAGAAAATATATGATTTCATCAAAAATCGGACAACCAACAACATTTGGGTCAGCCTTATGCATTACTTACAACATATTTTTTTTATCTTAATTTTGGTTATCAGCCTGCTTAGAAAATTATGTACAGTACACTGATTAGCTGATAGTTGAGCAAGAATTCTGGGAGCTATATTCCCAAAAGATCCAAAGAGTATTAATGAATATTGTATATAATAATATTATAGTGAATATTATTGAGTATTGTACATAACATGCACTAATACTAAACTATAAATGCAGTTTGCTTTTAGGGAATCTACAAAATTACTCATTATGACTTGACATGATGTGCAGATCAAGCCACTACACTTTGTACAACAAACTATAGTTTAAAATCTTTTAACAATTTACAATTGTTTACAATTTTGTGTGAATGCAGCTTCCCACTTATAAAATAGCATATAAAAAGACCTCAAGGCAAAGATGGAAGATAACTTTGTACACACATATATTCTAATAAGAATAAAAAAATAAGTATGAAATGCATTTATTGAACATGTTTCTGTCTTGCCTTTCTACAAAAATGGCTTGAAATAAAAATTTTAAAACCAGGCCTACCTACTTTAGACATTGCAAGCATCATTCAGGTTTTGACTTTTTTCTTTCCCAGCAGGATTTCCAGAAGGAAGAAGTTCAGAGCACTGGAAATGGATCAAGAACTCCTGACAAAGCTTATTGTTGTAGAGTCAGTGGATGTACCCGCCTCTTTACCACATCCCACCATTTGAAGGTGATCTTTCTTGTCTCCCCACAATTCACCCTAAATACATTATGGCACTACTAGAGAAACTTATCTAACAGGAAATCATGGGCGTCACCAATAGGACATGTAAGCCTGCAGTTTATCTGATAATGCTGAGGGGAGAGACAGGAAACAAGTGGTTGAAGACAGCTATAATCTTTTGCTGAAAGCTTGCTCTTAGTTTACTTAGTAGAATACACTTGCAATAAAGCATTAGTAGGATTACAAGTTATTCATCCACTTTCAACATTAGTTTTACATGAAAATACTTAGCCTTTTGATGTATTTATTAAATTTATTGTGTACAATCCAAGGTGATGTATTGTATGCCCTCTTCTGCTATTTTTCTCACAATAACCTTGTGAGATGGGTTGGGTTGAGAAAGAATGACTAGCCCAAAGTCACCTAGCCAGTTTCAGTATCCAAAGGAGGACTGAAATTCATGGTCTCCTAATTCTTATCCAGCACTATAACCACTACATCAGATGGTCTCAAACTGTTTTTGTTATGTATTTCAATATTTCTAATTTTAAAAATAAATGTAAACCTCACTAATTGAACTGTCTCTCCTTGGATGTAGTGGTTAAGCCATTAGGCTAGAAACCAGGAGATCTTGAGTTCTAGTCCCACCTTAAGTTAGACACAAAGCCAACTGGGTGACTTGAGCCAGTCACTTTCTCTCAGCCCTGGGAAGGAGGCAATGGCAAAACACTTCTGAAAAACCTTGCCAAGAAAACTGCAGGGACTTCAATCAGAGATGATTGAAAGGAAGACAAAAAAATACAACTTTTGAATTGGGAGTAAATAAAATTGATATTATGTGCAAATGCTCTTTGGCTTTTGAAAAAGTTACATTATATGTAATATTGTATTCTACTCTCAGTTCAGACTGTCTGAAATATAGCTTAGCAGGCACGGGTATGAATTGATTTAGACTAGCAAATATTAAAATACACATATCTATGAATTTGTTTATAGTATGGACTCCTTAAATTCCCATCCATATTGAAACTTTAAAAGTAAATATTCATTGATACATGGAAAACAAAAAAGTAAAACACCATAAGAGAATAAAACTGAAGAATTACATCTGATAGTGCTGCAAAAAAATATATAAGTGCCAGCCTCTTCTGTTCTCACTGGCCTAAACCTAGACATTTTCCTTTATTTTGCTGAAGGTGCATGAGCGTGTCCATACAGGCAATCGTCCATACCAGTGTGATTTTACAAACTGTGTGAAAACGTTTGCTACAGGTAAGGTATTTGTTGTGAAACGTTCAGAAAAGCAACAATGAAAACTATGTTGTTCCGATGGAATTACTCATGACTTGAGAATGAAGATGTAGCTTTAGAAATCCACAGACTGTTGAACTATAAATAGTGATGAAAAAAATATAAATTCAAGCTAAAGCTCCAGCTCTGGTTATCTTCAGAGCTACATAGTTACAGTTTTTATGTTTAATGAAGAGAAAGACTAGGGGTGACATGATAGCAGTGTTCCAATATCTCAGGAGTTGCCACTAAGAAGAGGGAGTCAGGCTATTCCCCAAAGCACCTGAAGGCAGGAGAAGAAGCAACGGATGGAAACTAATCAAGGAGAGAAGAAACCTAGAACTAAGGACAAATTTCCTGACAGTTAGAACAATTAATCAGTGGAACAACCTGCCTCCAGAAGTTTTTAAGAAGAGACCAGCAGCCATTTGTCTGAAATGGTATAGGGATTCCTGCCTGAGCAGGGGGTTGAACTAGATGACCTCCAAGGTCCCTTCCAACTCTGTTGTTCTTTTATTATTCTATGTTGCTTTGCTTTGCTCACTGCTTTGTGATTGTGCTTAGAACACAAGTTTTACCCTGACAGCATATAGTCTAAAGAGCCATATGAGAACACATACTGGTGAGAAGCCATACAAGTGCCAAGAAGATTTATGCACCAAAGCCTTCAAGACTTCTGGAGATCTCCAGAAACATACCCGAACACATACTGGTATGTCTTGTGGGGGCTATTGTTTTAATTTAGGGCTAGCAGAACCTGAAGTTTTGGAAGAATAGAAGAAATGAGGCTAGAGAAAATGTGCAAATAAAATAACTGTGTTATTATGATGTTATTTACATTGATAACTTTAATTCTTTAACTCTTACATATTTTTCAAAGCATACACTTAGAATGTTCTCTGCCCTCTTGCATCTCAGTTGATTTCCAGATTTAAAGTAAATGTGTAAGGAAAAAATAATACTTAACAGAACTCAGGAAGAGGCAGAGAGATAGATGGTAGTGGCATTGCGGCTTGTCTTTAATAAGTAATTGAAGAGGGAGGGCAAATCTTCTGGCTACAGGCTGCATACTGATGTTCTACATCAGGCATGTCAAACTGCCGGCCTGTGGGCCGGATGCATCATACTGAAACTGCGCCCACCCCATTGCTGGCAATGGGGGAAAAGTCGCAATACGTCACGTGATGTCGCGAGTTTGACATGCCTGTTCTACATCATTCATTCATTCATTTACTACAGCTTTTATGCAGTTTCACTTCCAGAGATTCTGAGTGAGTGGCTGATTCCAAACAAGGTGGTACAGAGAGTAGAGAATATAAAAAATCTGTGTGCCCACTAATCACAGTCAGTCTGTAAAATAAGGCACTGGTGGGCAAATGTTGTTCAACTCTACTTTCAGTCTAGGTCAGACATGTCAAACTCACGACGTCACGCAACGTATCGGGAAAGTTTTGCCATTGCCAGCAATGGGGTGGGCGCAGCTTCCACATGATGCATCCGGCCAGCGGGCCGGCAGTTTGACACCCCTGGTCTAGGTGGTTAGAGTAACTAGTGAGGCACTGTTTGAATTATAGTTTTCTAAGAATAATACTTTGACAGTCTAAGTTGTTCAGCTAATCTATGTTTATGTGCATTTTAATATTTGGCTGTGCAAAATTAAACTAAAAATGCAATGGGATCAAAGATACTTGCCAAACAAAAAGGTATTCATACCACTTATAGGTTAGTCTTTAACTTATAACCATTAGTTTATCAACCAAACAAAGTTACAGAGGCACTGAAAAAGGTAAATTATCACCAGTCTTCACACTTATGACTGTCATAGCATCCCCACAGAGGTCAAAATTTGGGTGCTTGGCAACTGCATGCATTTACAATGGTTACAGCGTCCTGGATGATGTGGTCGCCATTTGTGAGGATTACATCACCCAGCCATTTGTGACCTCAGCTGGATTCTGACAAGGAAAGTCAATGGGGGAAGCTGGATTCACTTAACAGCCATAGCAAAAAAGGTTCATAAAATTGAATGTGACTCACTTGTTT